AACACCACCCTTTGGTCTATCCACGCGATCCAATCGATGAATTACGTAGTCTGGATGCGAGTCAATTTTTGAGTTTGGTTTTAGGAATGTTTCTGAGATGCAAGCAACATCGACGTTTTGCTTGCTTAGGTAGTCGAGAAATGCTAACATTTTGTCAGTGAGGCCGTTAGCATTCCAGTAGAGGACGTTGATACTTTGTTGTCTACAATCCATTATTGTATGCGGTGTTTTTGGCACTTGAGCCGATTGCTTGGAGTATTTCGTCGATGAACTCTGGATTTTTGGCGATTAATTTGAGAAGCTCGCTGATAAGGTACTTGCACTTTGATTCCTCTATTTCTGAGATGTTTTTATCTCTTGTGCTGGTGCTTTGAGCTTGTTGATTAGTTGTTATGTTTCGATTCACTACCTCAACACTGAATGAAGGTTCTGGGAAGACTTCATTCGAGGTCTGACTTGTTGCACTGATGTCTTCTGAGTCCATAAGCTCAACATCTTGCTTTGGTTTTTGATGTTGATTGTTATTAATGCGCTCGTTTTGCTTTTTTCTTTGATTCTTTTTCCAATGTTTTCCTCTTTCTTTATTGTTTTGTTGGTTCAAATTCAAATTCAAATTCAAATTTATTAAACCTTAAACGGTTGTATAAAAATATAGTAATTACATAATTAATGGATAGAAAAGTGATTAAAACCATCTAATAACAAAAAAAAAAAAGAAGAAAAAAAGTAATTCAGTTACATTAATTCATAGATTACACAAGTGAAGAGAGAGAAGTCATGTGAGGCAGAAGAATTAAGAGGTCATTACTTCCAGAAATATTATTTCAATTCAATAAAGGAGGGATAAAGAATTCATTCAGTGACGAGATTTTGATTTCAAGGTTTTCGAAGAAGATGATGTACTAAATCGTGCTGTTATTTGGAGATTTAAATAAGTTCTCGCGTATGGGTGTGTATCCGATGATAAATGTGACCGGTAAGTATTAATTCTTGGTCCAAGTCTGCTGAAAATGGATGAGCTGCTCTGTGACGAAGTAGCAGTTATTTTCTTACGATCAGTTGGTTTTGGAGTTAAGTTCACATTAGTCGGAGTATTTCTCTTCATTGCTAAAGCTTGCTCATTGGAATTGCAGTTTAAAACATCGATTTCAGACAAGGCAGACCAAAGTTGCTTCGAATTTAACGAGCTGTTCATAGCATTTGAGAATTCGCTACTCTTTACTTCAGGAATGAGATGTAGAGTTGACGAGCAGAACGACAATGAGCCAAAAGCTGCATTCAGTGATCTCATAACATTATTATTGATGCTACTAGTCTTGATGAAAAATCTCAAAGCATAATCAGACTTTCCAGAGCACTCAATATGATATCCGTAGATTTCAATTAATTTATTGCCGTTATTCAATTCCTTAATAATCTTTTTGACAATTAGCTCCGGACTCTCTTTTAGGCAATTAGTTATAAGATTGATGACATTACCAGTGCAATGACCAAAGAGATAATAAGTAGATTTGCATTCGATCAATTTTTCACTAATATGAGGCACCACGATCATGCATATTATTTCATTCAGTAATATAATACTGAACTTACCAAAGCAGTTTTTAAGAATGTCCTTCTTCGTCTTATCACTTACTGTACGAGAGTTATTACGTGCTCCGACCAGTGCTATCAGAAAGATTTCAAGGAAATCAGTCAATAGGACCTCGATGAGACACGTATAATCTCCTTTCCAGTAAATTCCTTTAATTTTTACATTATTGTCCATCAGTAGCTTGTGAATTGATCCAGTGAACGAGATTATTTTACTCCCATTCTTATTTATGAATTTAAGCACAACAACTTCTGAATTTAAATACTTGGCATCATCAGTTTCGCCTAAAAGATCCTCATGGCTAGCACAAATTTGAAGGACGTCATCATCTATGACTGTAGACATCCTCAGTAGCCAAATATGCAATAATTTAATTTTATAATCCAATTGAATAATTGTTGACACGTAAATGAATGAAATTTGGTTAAGTCATCCACGCAGGGCATTAGACTACGTTCAATTTGACTTTTGTAGACTTTTAGTTGTTTGTAAACAAAAGAAAAGAAAAAAAAATTGATAATTAAAAATGCGAGAAGTGAACTTAAATATAGAAGTTCTTAGAACTGAATTGACCAGACTTGACTAGCGATACATTACGACTTAGCAGAAACTGCTTAACATCCTTTTTGAAAAGTAGGAAGACATTTTCGGTTTTTATTTCATTCGGAAGTTGATTGTATAGTTTACAACCATAGTGAGTCAAATCATCAATTAATACTTTCTTCTTAGCTGATGTCAGTAATAAGTCACTCTTTCTTAAGCTTCTAAGTCTGCTGATCCTCGGCAAGGAACCATCATATGATGTGACACATTTTCTTGTCATGATAATTGATGAATAATAAATCAATCCAGAAACAGGTAATATGTATTTGGCTTCAGTTTTAAAAAGTTCGCTTGTTGAGTGCATATCATGCAGTCCAAAAATAATTTTCAACGCTTTATTTTGCAGTCTTTGAAGTCTCTCGATGTCTATTGATCTACAGCGCATAAATACAAAACCAGCATAGTTGATGTGAGACTGTATGTGAGCATGAAAAAATTTTATCAGTGCATCTTGTGATAAGACAGTCTTTAAATATCGAAGTGCGTTAACAGCAGATCCAATTGATCTAGCAACCTTATTGACTTGACTAGCAAATTTCAACTCCGCATCAATTATTACACCAAGGTAAGTTAGTTCAGTGCATTTTGTTATTTGATTCTCTGCTAGTATTTCTTCCAACTCCTCATGAGCGTTATTTCCTACCAGCATGTATTTAGATTTTATTAAATTCAATTTAAGTGAGTTACTATTATAGTATTTCATTATTGTGCTAATATCAGATTGCAAGTTGTTGATGTTGATATGAGGGGTCTTCTTATCAAGTGTGAGAATCATAACTATATCATCAGCATATTTGAGTATTTTGGAGTTCATTGAGAGAGCGCAGATGTCATTAATCATTAAATTAAATAATAATGGGCCTAGATTAGATCCTTGTGGAACGCCAAGCTCGACAATTTCTGATGAACTAAATTCCAGATTAAATTTCACTATTTGTTTCCTATTCGCTAAAAAGCTGCTAAAGACATCATATGCGGGGCCTCTAATGCCTAGAAAATTTAGTTTTCTTAAAAGTATCCGATGATCCACTGAGTCAAAAGCTTTGGAAATATCAAGAGAGATTACTAATGCACTTTTCCCAGACTCAATTAGTTTACTTATATGATTTAACATCATTCCAATAGCATCATTACATCCACGTCCTTGTCTAAAACCATATTGCAATGGATCAAGTATCTTATGGATCTCAAGATACTTGCTTAATTGATTATAAATAATAGCTTCAAAAATCTTGTCCAGTTGGGGAAGCAGACTGATCGGTCTATAATTGCCACAGTCTAGTGCGTCACCTCCTTTATAAACAGGGATTATTGTAGATTCCTTTAGTCTGTCTGGATATATTCCTGTTTTGATGATTAGATTAAATATGTTTGCTAAATGAGGTGACAATTCATCCATACAGCATTTCAAGATTTTGGCATTAATTCCATCGATACCGCACGATTTATTCTCATCCAGTAAAGCAATATGATTGGAAATTAAGTCAGGTGTGATTTCCTCAAAACAGAAGGTGTCCTTGATTAACTTGCCTTTATAACTGTGTGAATTCATAGATGAGGTTTTTGTTTCATTAATTTCCATAAATTTCTTTTGGAATGCATTGGCAATTTTGACTGGATTCGTTACATACTCGTTATTATTATCCCTTATAATAGTTACGTTGGATTTTTTTGTTCTACCAGTTAGCTCATTAATTATCTTCCACGCATGATTGATATTTTTCACCTGTAATTTGCGATAAAATAATTTCGCCTTTGCATTACCATACTGCTCAAAGATATGACACAATTCATTATATTTAGTCACTAAGTTATTTCTTGGTAAGCTCATAGTTTTCCTTTTGTCAATTTTTTCTTCCAGATTATGAAGAGTACGCAGCATGTTCTTGTAGCGAATATCAGCCCAATCCGGTAGAGAGCATATATGTGATGGAAGCTTAACATTGCTGATAAAAGAGCAATCCTTAATAGTTTTTAACAGCAAATCGTGGACATCATTAAAGTAGACATTCCCATCATCATAATTAATTGCCAGCCTAAGGAAGTTTTGTTGTAGTTTTGATGGCAGTAAGTCGTTATTAACAGAAATTTTCTTCAAGCTAGATCTTTTTTTTGTAGACACATCCTCGAGCTGAGTCATTGAAAGCAAGTAATTATGGTCCGACACTAATTGAATTCTTTTCGAAGTCAGAGCAAGGATATTTTTTTGCGACGAGCTAACAATAAGATGATCAATTAAGGACCCATCAGATCCAAATAGACTGTTTCTAGTGACTGCAGAGTTGACAATTGCGAGATTGAGAGACATTAGTGTATCGAGATAAGTTTTAATTCGATTATCATTTTCATTAAGTATATTCAAATTCATGTCTCCTGCTATAATTAATTTATCTCTATTTGTTTTTAAGGTGAGCTCTTCAAGACTATTTACAAATGCATCCATGCTGCCATTAGGTCGATACACAAGCAACACATAGTACTCATACTTAGAAGTGAACAATTTTAAAAGGATGTACTCAATGTTTTCATTGATTACGCTTTCGACTACGACTGTTTGGTATTTTTTATGGACATATAATACCAGTCCACCACCTTTCTTTCCTTCTTTCCTGTTTGCATGGAATGCATTGAAGTTTTTTATGCCAAAAGTGTTAAATTTAGATTCTTCCTTTAGCCACGTTTCTGTTAATCCAATAATGTCTATAAAATATTTCTTACTTTCGCCATTAATATTAATTTGATTCTCATTTGTAGCAATCGATAATTTAGTCCACTCATCCAGATAGTGACTTATGACATTCAAATTGGATTTTCGATTGCTGTTGACTTCAGCTTTGTTTGTGACGATGAGCTGATTAGGATGAGTGGATAAGGTTGATTGTCAGCAGCTAGACCCAGGAGCCACGATTAAAGAATGAGGCTCATCATTGTCAGCATTAGCAGGTGCTTTGATGGACATCCTATATCGGTCTCTTTCATCAAAATTCATCTTAAAGTAGTCACCGTTATATAGTTGGAATGTAGGGATCTCAAGTCCTTCATCGTTGACATCAGCTCTCAGTTCGTCAAGGTCAGATTCAATTCTTATTAGAGCTCTAAGGCTCTTATCTTCTTCACTACCATTTTGATCGATTACTTTCTTTTTGTAAAATACCTGAATACCAGCATCGCTAACTATTGCTCTTTCAATTAAATTCATACGAGTTAGTTCATAACAAACACGAAGTAATTTCCAAACTTCAGCGCTCCAGTTGTCTCTGACAATGTATCGTATAGCATCAAAATTCTTTGACACAAACTGCTTTTTTGAATACTGCGCTGCCAACCTTTTAACATCACGAGCCGTATACGAGTTTAGGAATTTAATACCCATTATCATTTCGTTTTCAAATCCTTTGCCTGTTTTAATTGATATTTTTTGAGTAAAAGCATCAACTATTGTCCTGTTATTCATGCTATTCCAAATGTCCATTCTGGACAGAATTTTAACTGTTTCTCGAATTAATTCAGACTTAGTTTTGATTCTGAGAGCCTCAATTTCAGTAGAATCTGCAAAACTAAGCCATACAATATTATTTTGAGCTGAACATTTTTGCGAGAATTCAATTGCATTGAGTCTATCCTCACTTAATTGATGCACCTCAGAGATTTTACCCATGATTCGATTTTCCATCGCGACTAGTTGCTCATTTTGACGAGCAGCATATATACATTAGATTTCTTTTGACGATGATTGCAACACCACCCTTTGGTCTATCCACGCGATCCAATCGATGAATTACGTAGTCTGGATGCGAGTCAATTTTTGAGTTTGGTTTTAGGAATGTTTCTGAGATGCAAGCAACATCGACGTTTTGCTTGCTTAGGTAGTCGAGAAATGCTAACATTTTGTCAGTGAGGCCGTTAGCATTCCAGTAGAGGACGTTGATACTTTGTTGTCTACAATCCATTATTGTATGCGGTGTTTTTGGCACTTGAGCCGATTGCTTGGAGTATTTCGTCGATGAACTCTGGATTTTTGGCGATTAATTTGAGAAGCTCGCTGATAAGGTACTTGCACTTTGATTCCTCTATTTCTGAGATGTTTTTATCTCTTGTGCTGGTGCTTTGAGCTTGTTGATTAGTTGTTATGTTTCGATTCACTACCTCAACACTGAATGAAGGTTCTGGGAAGACTTCATTCGAGGTCTGACTTGTTGCACTGATGTCTTCTGAGTCCATAAGCTCAACATCTTGCTTTGGTTTTTGATGTTGATTGTTATTAATGCGCTCGTTTTGCTTTTTTCTTTGATTCTTTTTCCAATGTTTTCCTCTTTCTTTATTGTTTTGTTGGTTGTTCAAGTTATTTTTATTTCCCTGATTTGAGGGTTTGTGATTTGGAGGAGGATTTGTGTTCCTTGGTTTGTGGTTGACTGGAACTTGTTTTTGATGAACAGGCTTTTGTGTACCAGATGTTGATGGTTCCATATACTCCTTTCTCCATTGAGGTTTTGGTGCATGTTGGACGTTTCTGGTTGATCTCTCAGGACGATGCGGTGTTGGAGGATTGTTTCTCCGTTGTCCATATGAATAATGGCCTGCTGTTTTGTTTTGATTTTGGTTGTTTCCATTCTGTGATTTTGATTTCCATTTTTCAATTATTTCTTGTCTGGTTTTACAACCTGTGAAAATTGCTGTATGTTTTTCACCGCAGAAGAAACATTTGAGTTTTCCGAGTGGAACCTTGTTGGTCTCTTTCGATATGTACTGGCACGTTTTCGAGTCATGTTGCTCAGAGCATCTGAAGCAAACGGACGGTTTGTTACAACCGTTTTGTCCATGACCAAACTGCAGACATTTCGAACATTGAGATGGTCCAGCTTGTCTATTTTTGTAGTCAGCCCATTTAATTTTGAAACTGCTGACAATTTTGATTTTTCTGAGGAATTCCAGGAAATTTCCACCTTGTTCTACATCTTTTTTGAAGTACACGAGGTAGTTCTGGTCGTCGTCTTGTTCGTGTCTTTTGTGTTTCATTGTCATTTTGACAATTTTTACTGGTGTGATTTTTACGGTTTGAAGTTCCTTCTCCAACTCACTGATTTCCATATCTGGGAGTCCATAGAGTACGTACTTCTTCAGTGGTTCTTGGCTGGAGTATGTGTGGAAGTGATGCTTTTTGTCTTTGAGTAGTTGGATGAATTTCTCGTAGTAATCCCAACTCTCCGTTGTTACCGTTTTTGTTCCTTGTTTGCCCTTTTTGGTCTCAATTAAGAAACTTCCAGGTTGATTGTTTATTTCATTCGTCAATCTCTTGATTTCACCAGCTCCTCCTGTGCTGATGACAATTGGAGGTGGTTTTGATTTTTGTTGAGATTTGTTGTTGTTGCTTTCCGTGTTTACGGAAATTGTCTTTTGTTGCTCTGATGTTTTGCTGTTTTCTCCCCAGTACGAAGAAGTTGTCGATCTTTTTTTCTCCTGTTCTGGTGAACCAAATAGATACGGTACTCCAGAAGACGAAGCTTTCTTCACTGGTGGGAGTACGAACAGTGGTTTGTTCCCATCTTTTGGTTTGCTTTCGTTTGCTACTCTTTTTAAAAGAGCGTTGGGAACTATCACTTCTCGAGGGCGTTTTTCTGCTTTACTTGCTTCATTGAGAAACTTCTTTATTGATATTTGTTTTTTTGGTTTGAGATTTGTCATCTCAATGTCGGCTGCTTGTGAAACATCTTCACTGAAAATTTCCTCAATATTGAGAATTGTCACTGAAGATGAATGTTGTTGTTGAGAACTATTAAGTCCATGCTGATTTTGAGAAAGATTTTCTTCGTTGTTGGTAGTTTTTGGTGATGCTATCATTTTGATGTTTTGAGAATCAAACTGAGATTTTAAAACTTTTTGTAAACAAAAAGCTTCTCAGGTAGTCTCTGTTTTGTTTCTTTTGAGATTTTTGAATAATTTGCGGAGCGATTTGTAAACACGTCTGTTCACGTTGAGATCTAGTTTGCAACTGCGAATTATTCTACCATTACTCTTGTGCTATTAAAATTATTTAAATTCGACAACATGTCTTTATCTAAAAGATCCTTTGTTAAAATGTAAATTGCCTCATCATTCTCATTTACCTCATAAACATTCTCTCTCTTCCAGATACTCTTATAAGACATTATAATTCTTAATGCTTAATATTCCATTAAGAATCGCGAGATCGCGTTGTAGCTAATTGTCTCACTCAAGGAACCACCTTTCAGTTGGAAATACTGGTGCTGATTGCTGATAAAAAACCCCTATAATTGTTTTACTTTGCCAGGGGGTTTTTTTTTGAAAGAATCATCGAAAGCCCCTTTACTCTTGCGGAATTTTCAAAATCTTTGGATATTTCCTAAGAACAAATGTATGTTTTTGCAATAGTTAAACAACAGAATTGATGTCTAAAAACCTACACTGTGCTGTCAGATCGCTCTTGATAATGCTCTTATTGAAAGTTCAGTTGCTATACCCAAGCCATTTTCTGTTGAAGGTTTAAAGATTACATCAAGCATCCAATCATCTTCTTCTTCAATCTCAGCAGTGAAGCACAGTCCTTAATAGAACGACCCGTTGCACAGTCTACAGAAAAAAATCCAAATGAACGTCAAATTGCCTTGACAGCTGTTTAAACTCCATTAAGCTTTAAGAAATGACACTTACCACTCGTTCAGCTTACCATGACTCACTGAGTTGTCATCACTTCCCTCAAAGATCAAATCTCGCACATATCAAATCACATCTTCCGTTTTCCACTTTTTTCTGTCACATGAAGCTCCATAAACCAGCCAAATTGCTATTTCTGTAAGATGATTTCCTTTAAAATTGCTGATAAGGAAACAAAAACATCAAAAACTTCCGCTTTTATATTTTGCCAATTATTAAAAAACCCGTGTTTTACAAAATATTTCGCAAATTTGTGCGATGTGATAAAGAAAAAATAAAACTTGTGTCCAAGTCGATATATAAAGAGCAAAAATATCAGTATTTAGTTTAGTGAAGGATAGCCGTCACTTTTTGTGTGATGTCAAGTGACGAGTAAAATAAAGAAGAACTGAATTTGAGGCTTGATCGAGAAATATAATGAAAGAGATTTTAAGTAATTTTACAGCATGTCACATTACCAAGTTAAATTTATATCTTTCCATCACTTCCTTTCAGTCGCAACCCTCCTTCTGGGTTGTCTAATTGCATCTGCAACGGCCGAACGTGGTCTGTTTGAGTTTCACGATACTTACGGACGATGTTGGCGCTGCTTGCCTGGTTCATCATGTGTCAGATGTTCTACTATTTTTGTACCATTTGTGGCTGGACCGCCAGATCCTTGGAACAGGACCTGCGAACAGCCTACAGCTGATGTATGTGCTAGTTATCCTGGTGTAAAGTTTCCACATCAGGATATTGGGTAAGTTTTTTGATTATCAATGACTTAGCTGACATTTTGACGGTCAATTATCTTCAAAGTTGCTCAACTCTCCGTACTTTCGAGAATACGGAGCCTTTTTTTGATCCCAGCCACATATACTTTAGATTCTTGGTATAATTTTTTACAAATTTTCAGATTCTATTGGGTGTGTGCAGATGAAGGTGTCATTGTAGAAGCGCCATGCTTTTGCGATCATGTTTTTGATATGAGAGCACAACAATGTGTTAAATCTGACGCATTGACATCAATAGGATGCGATCAATATGCAAACCCTGATCCACATGACTGCTGTAAGTTACAATATGTACCAAAACTTGTCATTAAAGATCTTGTGAGAATCTCCCGAATGACACAATTCGGTTAATCGATTAGAAATCCAGCATCAAGCCGGTTTGACTTTGGAAACTGAAGCCAGGATTTAAATCTAGTCATGCAAGCTTGGTGCCAGATTTCTATTTGATTAACTGACTTGTGATTTTCAGATCTCCGCAAGGATATGAAAAATTACCCACTAATAATTTCTTATTTTAAATTCAGTGAGTGACGAACCACGTCCTCCTCCATCGACCTTAGCTCCAACTGATACAACAACACCAACAACGACAACAACAACAATTGGTGGTCCAGCAAATACTCCTTCAGTTCCAACAGCTCCAAATGATTCAACAACAACAACACCTGGAACAACGCCATCGGTTCCAACAGCACCGAATGAGCCAACAACAGAATCTACTACAACGACAACAACAACAACAACACCAATAAATGGTGTTACAACAACAACAACGACAGCAGGACCAACAAGAACTACAGAAATGGCTGGTCCAGGAACATTAGATCCAGGAAATCCAACACCAGATACAACACCAGCACCATGTGTTTGTGTAGTTTGGTGGCCATGCTGGTGTAACCCATGCTGGAATATGCCATGTCATAGCTGTAATGGCTGTGTTGGAATGATGGGATAGGCACAAAAGCCACAAAATAATCCTTTGCCAGAAAGAACATCAATCATCACAAATGAAGAAGATCAGAGGGAGTTTGCTTAGTTGTCTTAACTCGAAGGTGCTTCCTTGAGTCTGGATAATTGAGATGAACCCTGCAGTGAGAGATGAGCACATTGTTGATTTTAGGTTCTCAATCTAGTGCATTGTTGTCCAACCTTTTTTGTGCCATGGCACATGGGTTGAACATCACTGACTTAACTTCAAACAATTGGAAATTACCCGATTTTTTCGACCAACCCCGTTTGATCTAAATTTTAATAATGTGTTCCACTGACATCCGAAAAGCACGACATTATGGTGACATCAGGCAACTTTGTGGTCACTACTTAAAGGATTCCTATAATCTTGTGCTTTTCGGGACATAAATCAGAGTTGGAATCATAAATTTGACTCTGATTTTTATCTCAAAGAACAAGTTTGACTTGCGATGGTGTTTAAATGTTTGTAAGATGAAATGCCATCATGACTTGAGCTTGTGAACCAAAGAATAAAGTAGTCGATATAAAAAAAAAGTTCAGTAACAAAAAATGTACAAGAGACGAAAAAAAAAGTCGTCAAAAATAATAATTTTGTAATTTCTCAATAATTAAATTTAGATTAAGTAATAATTTTAAGGATTTGGTGAAGGGGAATTATTTTGGTGATGGGAATGGGTAAGAAATGGAGAAAAAGAGAAAAATAAAGTTGAAGAATTAATTTTCACTTTTAACATTTGTGTTTTTTATAAATTAACATTAAACATATTATGTTTTTTTTACATTGGATACTTCGGTGAAGATTTTAAAAAAATGCTTGACAACAACAACTAAGATAACATCTGAAAATTTGACCAAAGAACCTAGAATCATTTCACTAGCCACAAAAACTAATTTATCTTTATTGAAACCAGGTTTTTTTTTAATCCTTCAAAAAGCTTTAAAAAGGAGAATTGTTTTGTTTTTACCGCATTTTGTATACTTGTATACAAAAAGGGAGCTTAATAATGCGAAACGTTCGTTCGTTCATTCAGGCGAAGAAAAACTTTTTAGCCAGACATCGTAGAGAGCTCAGGTTTGTTTTATTAGCTCCTTTACTATTGATTTAATGGCCGATCGAACAGTTAAAAGTCATCGAACAGTGTATTTATACTATAATTAATGGCTTTTTTATTTCAGAAACCAAACCGCGTGATGAGTACGTTTAAAAAATTCACCATTTCCTCTATAATTTCAAATGTTTATAGACCGTTAAAAAATTTGAATTCCAAACGACCGTTAAATGATAAACCCTTTTTATATGAAAAATTATTGTAATTATTTGTAAATTACACTTAAATGAATGATCTTCTAATTTTCTAATGATCTGTAAATGGACACAAAATAAATAGATAATCAAATACTGATCGCTGCATCAAAAATGCGCTGAAGTCCCTCGATCAATAACACGTTTTTAACTTTTAGAGGAGTTCTTTCTATTTTGTTCGCTATCTTGTATTGTTTGGCTCAAAAACATTGACCAAACCAAATTTAAAGAGTCTAATCACTCTAGTGTTTGACTTTGACTTAATGTTGATTTATTTAGGTCGAAATTTAAGCTCTACTGAACACTATGAGTGAGACTTATTCAGATTCTACAAACTTTTTTTTTCTAAGGGTTGTCTTAACAATTTTCAAAGACGTACACACTTGGAAAACTTGCGAATGAAAAATATATAAGCCTTACGAGAATTCTGAAAAGTTTTTGTAATCAACATCTTAATGCACAGGACATGATGGAATATTGCAACAGTTTAATTAGGATTTACTGAATGCTCAGTTTTAAATTTCCTTAAGCTCCTTGAGTATACGCCTTGAAGTTTTCTGACTATCCATCACATCTACACACTAATTGACAGCATCATTATGAGCACCATACAGTACGGATTAGCGTTTTTACAGTTATTTTGATTCGAATAACTCTAATTGCCATTTATTGGCACAACTGGCAAACTCTTAGAAATATAGTTGAAAAGCCACTGCTTTACAGTCCTCGCCATGTATCCTTGTATAACAAATGCAGAGAAATTGGTATCGTACATTACAGCAAACCACATTCAGTGTTCAAATAATGAAGAAAATAAACTTAATTTCTGGAAATAACAAAATACTTAAAATAACTTTGCTAGTCGCTATACTTCAATGGCCATTAACACATGTTCCTTACTGATAATAAAATTAAATTTATTCGCATCTTTTGCAAAAAAACGATTGTTTTACAAGAATTACTTCCGATAAGATTGAAATTGACTTTTGAGTTCCTATATAAGTGATACCAAAAGACATTTTTCGATTTCTATTACTGTCATTTCAAAGCAGCAGCAAAAGAACAACTTTCAGAAATGAACAATATTTTGTGTGAGTTTTGAAAATAAAAATATTGAAAATATTTTAATTCAAATTTTTTTCCAGTTATAAGTCTCATTTTGGGATGCTTTATAGCCGTTCTTTGTGGACGATACGACATGTACGAATTTCATGACTCACACGGACGCTGTTGGCGTTGCACGAACGGAAACGACTGTGTAAGATGCTATGAGCCAATAGCACGATTTAACTTCCCTGATCCATGGGGTAGAGAATGTCTCGCACCTACTTCATGTGCAACATATCCAGGCGCTAAGTTTCCTCATCAAGACATTACGTAAATGATTAAATTTTTGCAATAATTTGATAGAATTGATATTTATTTAATTATTGTTTGCAGTCGATACTATCTTTGTGCTCTTAACAGCCAAGTAGTCACCGTTTCTTGCTTCTGTGATACAGTTTTTGATATGAGACAACAGATGTGTGTAAAGTCAGATGTCATGACTTCAATTGGCTGTTCTGCATACACACAATCAGAACCAAGAGCATGTACTTAAATATTTTGCTTATTTTTTTTTTAATAAAATTGGAATTAATTAAATCCAGAATAAAATGCCAGCTTGAAGTTTTAAATGAGTTATTAAAAATATGAATAAATGACAAAATTTACTAAGATTGAATGCTTAATTGTAGGACATTGTAAGCATGGGATGCTGGCTTTTGTTGCTGCTTTGGGATGCTGATTTTTGGTCAAAAAAGTTGGTTCTTCTCTGAATTTTCAAGCATTTTCCGAGAAAAATAGGTTCAAAAAACTAAGACATTAAGGAAAAGTGCGCACTTAGACAGCTTAATCAAAGTTAATGCTAAACTAGTGTTTATCTCCCTCATATTTTACGGCATGATTTTAAAATGGTGGTTATTACGCTTCCTTGTCAAAATTAACCTAAAACGATGAATTTAACGATAAATCAACAAATTTTTTATAACAACATAATAAGGCCAAGTGAGCATCCAGAACCATTATCTCAAAACTTATACGACCCAGTTCAGCTATTCTTATTTCAACGGGAAAAAACTATGCAGCCAAAAATGCATTAAAAAAAACTTTATTTGCTTTAAAATAAAAAATATAAAAAAACAAAAGCTTCATAATATTTAAAGTATACAACAACAGATCAACCCATGCAGCCATTACAGTTATGACAAGGCATATTCCAGCATGGATTACACCAACATGGCCACCAAGGTATACACGCACAAGATCTTGGAGTCGTTGTTGTCGCTAAAGTTGTTGTTGTTGATATCATTGTTGTTGTAGTCGACATAGGAGTTGTGGTCACTGGCTCCCAAATTGTAGTGTTTTCTGGTTGGACACCATTAAATTCAAGGACTGATACTCTCCGACCAGTAGCTAGGTTTAAGAAAGAATAATGAAAATCATCACTAAGGTTAGAAGATCAGGGTTCAAGGGAGAAGGCTCTTTAAGGCTCTAAACTGGTTTTCTAGTTTAATTCTACTAGAATTGACAAAAAAAAGTAATAAAGTATGATTTCAAAAACTAAGTAAGTTTCTACTTGTTGAGCCCCTGTTCAAGCCTGAAGCTAAAAGCTAATTGACACTTACCGCATGATGTGATCATAATTGGTGTGATTAGCTCACTGCAGTAAGGTGACCATCTATCAACTCCAACACATTCTTGCGTCCTCATGTTGAATAAGGTTCCACAAGAACAATCAACAACCTCAAGAGTCCAACTGTTCCTGTCTAATTTACATCGGAAGTAGCGACTAAAATTTAATAAACATTGCAAATTAGTCACAAGAGGTTTGAAATGTCGTTTAAAGCTTCAATCAGGGGGAGAAAGATGGTTTTAAAATCCTCCAACGTAACTTGTGAACAATCCCACATTCAAAAAACTCAAACTCACTCAGATTCGCTCGATGGAAACAAAAATTTTCGATTTTCCTGAGACTTGCAGTTTGGCTCAAAACATAAGTTCGACCATCCAGCAGGCCAATTTGCACTTCCATATCTCGGACACTGTTCACATGGTTGATTTGGATAGCATCTCCAACATTGTCCCCGAGAGTCTGTGAATTCGTGATAGTCAAAATTTGCAGAGATAATTGTTGCTGTCAAAAAGAGGCACAAAACCTGAATTTTCATTTTGGGTTAACGACACTGAGACCATACAAAGTTGACGACGTTCAATTTTTAACTGATTTTAAAGTTTTAATGCCTTTGTGTTCATCCTAGTTAAGTTATTTATGGTAAATTGACAAACCGTGCTGTTGATTGCTGATATGATTGTGACAATTGTTCCTTCCTGTGTGACGAATTTAAAGGTTTCTTGTCTGGTTCCATTGTTTTGTGTGTAAAATCATTTCAGAGGAAAATTTTAAGTTTGAAAGAATCAGAAGCTTCAACATTCAAAGCAATGATCATAAATAATTTCGAATACTTGGTCAACCAAATCAATCCCAAAGATCAAAAGTCCTTCAAGTGCCACTTAAAAGTCAAGAACATATTTGATATCACTCATTTATCACATGAAACTAATTTTAAGGTCAAACTAAATCAAAATTATATTTTAAGCTTCAGTTGTTGATATTTTCTAAGGTCTTCGATAAGGATCAAGTAGCAAAGAAAATTCCAGGTTTAATTAAAAAGCTATAAAAATATCAATTGATAAGATAAAAAAAATTGGCAAGTCAGTAAAATACGCAAAATGTCTCACGAGCAGTTTACGCTCGATTGTTGCTTGTTATCAGCTACAATAATAAATTTCGGTGTCTTTAATTAAGACTTTGGAATTTTCTATTGTGTGATCACAACAAAAACATGTCGTGTGCTTATCAGATCTAATACCTTAAAGTAAGTAGTTGTTTGATAAGAAACAAAATTGGCAACAAACAAAATATTAATGGATATTTCATCATGGCAGGAAATGAATTGTTTCCGCAAACTTAGTTTTTGGATGATTGATCGATGTCAGGTGATGAAATCAAGGACTGAAAGAAGGACCTAAACAATGAAAGACATCTAGACAAGTATACAGTGTAAGGACCTGACAGCCATAGTGCCAGACAACCAAAAACTCAGTCCAAAAAACTACCAAACAACCGAACAACCAGACATCCATACAACCAAACTGTAGAACTATCGACAAACATTATCCTACTAGTCCACCCCACGTCGTCACAAGTATTATTTCTCATGGCACACATTCCAACAAATTGTTTGAGTTTAGCGATAAAAGTTATTTTAATGTGTTTACTGTTCAAGGCTTAATACTTGACTTTGAAGTCTTTCGTAGGTCGTTTTTCCAAGAAAAAGAGATCATTTACCGTAAAAAATAACTGATAAGGTTAAAAAACCACAACTTTATACAACCACAAAAGTCTCGAATCATCAAACATTTCCAATTTTGTGAACAACATCAACGCCTCATTTTCTAATTTTACTCAACCTTTTTCATCCATTTTAAGTAAAACTATCATGATTCACAGCCAATAAAGCCCTCACAAGCCCTTTAAAGCGTTATCTAAAATGAAAACTACATCAAACTATTTAAACGAAATCAACCAATTGTCATCGAGTCCTACACTTGAACTTGTCTTATCAGCAAACATTTTAAACTATTTTCAAGTAGTTTTGACATCTTATCTTATCATCAAGGCTACTTTTATACCAATCACACAAGTTCAGAGTCAAATGAATTGATAAGAAGCATGTAAGTAGTTTTGAAGGTTCTCTGATTGGTTTTTGATACAGTTTTGGTTGATAAAATGTTTTTGGGCTAGAAAATGTATTATTGGTAGTGCGTGAGTTTGTAAGATTCCAAACTTAGTGTAATCCAGTGGTGGACAACCTATTTTTTGTTATATCACATCTTGATGAAAGCCATGACCGCACACGGCTCTCGGTTCGTTGGATTTCCCAAATTTTGTTGTTGGAAACTAGAGTGCCGCGGCACATAGGTTGCCCATCACTGATAGAATCTCATGTGATTAAAGCCAATCTGTTTTGAAATTTCTACGTCAAAACCATTATTGGAAATCACTTTCTCTCAAATTTTAGACATTTTAAGAGCTAAAATTCTCAAGTTCACCTTTAACTGAATCTCTAGTTTTTGTAAACCTTGAGATAGCTAAGTTTATCATCATCCTGACCTTAAATTCACCCTTGAGTCGATCTAATCGCAAAATTGATAATAAAACTTGCCTAAAAAGGAAGATAATCGCATGATTAAATTGAGTCACGAGAATGTTTTGATAAAATTCTTGATAATTTTTTTCAAATCTTGCACAAATAAGTTAAGGAAGTTAGTTGCGATGAGATTTTAAGCTGAGAAAGTCGTAAAAACAGATTCTTGATTTTTTGAGGTTAACAAAGTTTGAATTTTAAAAATAAAAAGTAAAATTAATTGTCAATAAGCCATGCGAACGCTGGTCGTGTTATCTATGCTGCTGTGTGCAGTCAGTGCATTTAGACTTAATGAGGCGAGTCAAAAATAATTTAAAGTTCATAAAAATTGGCTTCATAACAAAATTTAATTTCATTTAAAATTCAAACTTCAGATTAGACCGCTTGGTAGACTTAATGCATCACCTAGGAGTGATTGTTTAGTAAGTATGGCATGAGAAAAATCAGAAATTGGACACTATGTGAATTATTATTAATTTTTGAACTATATTGATTTTGGATTATGGCCGATAACTCAAGTTTATTATGTCATTAAATAATATTCCTATTAATAATGTAAAGCTAAGTTTCTAGGACCACCTACAGTCCCCTGCTGCTACAAAACTTCCGAAGAATTCCAATTTTTTGACACAAATTTTGATAAATCATTTTAGGGAGTCCCAAACGGAGCACAACTGCCACACCCTGTTAACTGCAATCAATTCATTCTTTGTGAGAACAATATCGGATTGACACTCACTTGCAGATCAAGTCATCCACATTTTGACAGATGCAGTGGACGATGTGTTGATGATATTTTGGTTTGCATGATTACCGATTGCAATGGAGTAAGTTTGTTAAGAATTGTTTTGATTTCTATATATTAAAAATTATCCTTTTCAGGCTCCAAATCCACCTCCAACTCCAACTGACCCACCAATTGACCCTCCAGTCACACAACCACCAACAACTCCAGAAATACCGACAGTATCAACAGAAGGGGTAACAATAGAGCCAGAACCAACGACAACAACGCGTTTTGTTGTTCCAACTGTGCCTTAATAAATTCTTGAAAAACTTATTTTTAATAAATTTGCTACAAACGACTTTACTGAAATTATTCTGAAGGACTTCATCACATTTATTTAATAATATTATTTTATTTATTTTTGTGCCTAATAATTTAAAAACTTAACCACAATAAAAAATTAACTTTTAGTATGAATTAACAGTATTATTTTTATAAATTTAAGTTGCACGTGCTTTTGAAGCTGAAAGAAGCATAGCCAGGGTGTCCTTAGATTGCCGAGCACCAGAGGCGTAGCCAAGAATTTGAAGAGGGGGGACAAAAAAATGTTTATATGGAAAATCCAGAGGGAAAGGGGGGGGGGGGGGATTTTTATGATTTTTTCATAAAACTACTAGCAAAAGGAAGAAATTTCTTGTTATGTCGGGGTCCCACAACCCCCCCTCCCCTATGGTTACGAGTCTGCTGGGCACCCTCCCTTGAAATTGAAATTTCATACCAATTTTTTGGAAATTTTTTTTAAAAACTAAGAACAATAAAATTATTTTTTATTAATCGAATAGAGAAAGTTTTATTTATTTTTGACACCCCCTAAGAAAATCTAACCCCTAGAAAGGACCCCCTAGAAAAATCCTGGCTACGCCCCTGCCAACCTAGCTACGCTCTTGCAATTCATGCGTTTGATTGAATTTTTCTTTTTTGAAGATTTAGCTTCTGATAAGGTTTTTTGATCTCCCTCCCCATTATAACTTTGAGCTCCATTTTCGTTTGTGAACCAAATCAACAAAAAATTAGTAAAAATCGGAAAGTTTTTTAAACACCTTAAACTAAACAAGCAGATTTATCCTAGCAATTGAACAATCTTGCTTATTTTGCACCAAAGAACAGCATTTAAACTCTTCAAAAAGTTCACAACTTTCTTATCGGTCAACAAATAAAACCGAAATGATCCTTTTGACACACATTTTCATAAACACGCGTGAATATTTTCGACAAATAAAATCAAGATTAACAACAAGTTTTAATTGGCGAAAATTACTTAAAATAGGTCATCAGCAGATTTAGATGATAAAAATATTGTATAAAACTCGAATCAATTTTGTTTGGGACAGCAAGTTACAATCAAGTTTCCTTAAAGTGAAGTTCTAAGACTGCAAAAAGTTTAAATTTACCAAAAAAAGAATTAAAAACACAATGAAAGTTCTAATAGCATTATTTGTAGCATTCTGTGCAGTTAGTGGATTTAGTTTTCTTAATGTACGTTGAGTTTTTTGGCATTCTGAGTTAAAACCCGTTTAAAAAAACGTTAAAAAATATCTAATTTTAGCTATTCTCAGAACCTATTGAGATTGCACCATTCAATAGTTGTACTGTGAGTATGAAGGGTTATTTATAAATGACATTTAACCATAAAGTCGAATTATTTGATCACATCTGACTTCGAAGAGCATTATTTAAATTCTGAGTGTAAGGTCAAGTTTTAGGGCTACTCGAGGGCATTATTACGCCAAATTTGATAACTTGTGGACTATACTTTATTATATACATGAAATCTAACTGTAGCGACAAAAAGATTCAAAAGTTTAGCAGCGCTGACACTAAGTAGGCATTATTAGTGACACCACATCGCTTCTCTGTCAGTTTTAAACCTATTTGTCAGTCACAGTATCCTGTCAACTCTTAGTATCAGCTTAAATGACATATGACTTTGTCTTGACACTCTCTTGACCATGCCAATGTACCGTGGCACAAAAAAGGAATGCTCACATTCTCTTACATTCTTTCAGGGTATTAAAGATGGAACTCGACTCGCAATTGCTGGAAACTGCAACGCTTTCACACTTTGTGACTCAGGAATCGGATTGAATCTAACATGTAGACTGTCTGAACCTCATTTTGATCCATGCTTAAAAGTCTGTAGCAGTGATATGAATGTTTGTAGTAAAACATGCTCTGTAAGTAGTTACATCACCTCTTTTTTTGCAATTAAGCATAAATTTTAATTCATAGGATGATACAACAACCACAGCAAGTACAACAACAACCACAACAACGAAGGCAGAAGACCCAACAACCACAACAACAACAACAACATCAACAACAACCACAACAACAACTAAAGCACCAGTCACAACTACAACAACAAAGTTTGCTGTACCAACTGTCCCAATAGGATGTACTCCATCATGTTCAAAAACTTTCAATACAACCGTTTGTGAATGCACAGAAAAGTGGGTTTGTGTAAATCAAGTGTGTACATGTGATGCTACAAAAGCATGTCCAGTGGATAGAGCCACGTGCGAGGGAACAGGAACTGGTGGTTGTGGATGTGCTGAAAGATGCGACTGTACTGGAACTGCACCCGATGAGAAATGTTTCTGCATCGAAAATGTAGTTTGTCCATTTAACAAAGCTGATTGTGCTGATATTTGTGATTGTGAAGAACAATGTGATGATACAGTTTGTAAAGAAGACCCAGCAGAAGCAGGCACATTCATCTGTACAGCATGCAATAAAGCAGCTCAATGTTCATTCGCAAATACTGAATGTGCATCAAAGTGTGGATGTGCTAATAATTGTAACTGTACAACGGACACATCATGCACTTGTAATCCAATTTGTGCATGTATTGAACCTCCAGTCGTTTGTCCTTTTAAACCTTCTGATTGTGTAGCTAGATGCGGATGTGATAAGCGTTGTGAAGCAACTTGTAATGGTGACTTTTGTGTCTGTGATCCCGCAGTGAAATGCACATAGAGTTAAGTTATTGTTAATATTAGGATCATCAGAACTTATTAAGGCAGTGTTTTTTTGATCCACGGCACAGTACCAACCAGCTAGCTAGCCAGCCAGCCAGCCGAACAAATTGCATTGTTAAGCTTCCTTTTTAAAATCAGCGTTAAAAACAGTTAAAATTTCAGTTATAAATAACTTTGCAATGCATCTGAGAAGTTCTCATAGTAAACTAGTGTGCCGCAACCAACAGATCAAGAATCACTGTCTATCTATTATTAAGTAGATTTTGGTGTAGGATATGGACTTTGGTGAATGGTAAAGTTAAGAAACTGATTAACTTTAAAATAATTAAATTTAAAGAAATAAAATTAATATGTTAAAATTGACAATTTAAAATTAAATTAGAATTTGGTAATTTTTTTTAAATATTAAAAAGGTTCAAAGTTGAATAACAGGTCTCCTAAGCAGGTGCGTAGCCAAGAGGGTATTGTTCCCCTTTTAAGCGTTTTGGACCGTACGCAACTGCTCCTAAGTAAGTTGCAACTATGAAGCAGCTCGACAACTGCTGCACTTTTTAAAATGGATAAGCAAAGTTAAACTTAATGAAGTTAATTCATCAAAATTTATATGAGGAAAAGTCAATGCATCTTTATAGTCAAACTATGAAAATCGTAAGTTCTGCTATCGATAAAAAAACAAAAAAAATTAATTTTATCTTTTAAAGAGCTCAATACATCACTAACTTCGTTCCTTATCACTCTTAAAATAATAAAAACAACTTCAATACCAACTTAATTTGACGGAAAATCATCAAAACATGAGTAAGAATTTTTTACACGTTTACAAATTAAAAGGATTAAACTTAAATTTTGATTAGGACACGACTTTTTTTGTGATAAACGTTTGGTATAAAAACTGAGTTTGGTAACTTGTGAAATACAAGTTTTATTTATTTTCTCGAAATGTAAGGATCGAAGATTTTAAAAAATCATTGTTTGAAGTTTGCAAAAATTTAAATATTTCAAAATTAAAAAACATAATTTTCAACGTTATTCAGTTTTTTAAAAAAATTTGACAATAATTTCAAGTTTAATTAAGAAAAAAAACAAAAATTGAAATTTAAATATTTGTGAATTATTTTTTGAATTTTTGTAAAGTTTGAAAATTCTGAAAAAAGCAAAAAGTTTTAAAAAAATAAATTAATTTTTTGAAGTTTTAAAAAATCCTTCTAGACTGAAATAAAAAATAAAAAAAGGACTCAGAATGAAAATACTTATAGCATTATCACTCGCATTCTGTGCTGTCAATGGATTTAGTTTCTTTAATGTAAGTTTATTTTTATTTAAGTGGCAAAGCTAAAGATTTGCATTTGTGAAGCATTAAATGGTGTGGTTTACCTCGACCCTTATTAAGAACAAAGTAAATGCTGCAATATCGACCGTTCTGAACGTACCCGAACAGCACAAATTGGTTAATTGAATAGAAATCTGGTATCAAGCTGGCATAAACCTAACATAATGCTGGATATGATTTGGGATCAGAACCATGCCTTTTTGGAGCCAGATTTTTTTCCGACTTGTGAAGTAGTGACAATTTTTTTTTATAGAATTTCTGGATGACTTACACGATTTTTTTACAAAAATCCAAGATAAAATTTTCATCAACCCCCCCCACCTTTAATCCCCTCTCGAAAATGTCGAAACTTTCTTTAATCAAATTCTATCTGATCATTATTGTAGGCACATGCAGACCCCATTGAGATTGCACCATTCAACAGTTGTGCTGTGAGTAAAAATTGATTTTATTTAAATACATTTAATTTCTATCAGAGCTCAAAGTCGATGAAATTTTGTATGGAGTCGACTTCGCCATACAAAATCAGTGAAAATCTCGAGTCAACTTCGAGCTCTGATCTCTATTTAGAAAATTAAATTAATTAATAGGGAATTGCCGATGGAACTCGACTTCGAATCGAGAGTAACTGCAATGCATTCACACTTTGTGACTCTGGATACGGACTAAACTTAACATGTAGATTATCAGAGCCAGACTTCGATTGGTGTACTGGAAAATGTGTTAATGACAAGTCAGTTTGTACACAAACGTCCTGCTCAGTGAGTTTGAGGTTCTTTGTTGAGAAATTCTTTATATTTTTAATGATTTTTCAATAGACGGATACAACCACAACAACGGTTGCTGGGGACACGACAACAACCACGTCAACGACCACAACTGCATCAACGACCACTTCTACAACGCCAGCAGCAGTAACAACAACAACAACAACATCAAAAACAACCACTCCATTCAATATCCCAACAGTTCCAACTGTATGCAGTCCTGTATGTGATACATCCTTATGTGTAGCACCTGGTTGTCCTGAACAAATGGTCTGCAAAATTGGAAATGTTTGTGAATGTGACTCAACCATAATGTGTCCAACGGATTTAGACACATGTTCATTACCCGAAAATTGCGGATGTGCATCAAATTGTGAGTGCTCTGATCCAGACACTAATCTTTTATGCACATGCATTGAAAAAGACACATCAGTCTGCACATTCGACAGAGAAACACAATGCGTTGAAAAGTGTGGATGCGATTACAGATGCGACAGTTCCGTTTGTACCGAAAGTACAACAAATCCTGGATCTTACTTATGTACTGGATGTAATGAAGAAAAATCATGTCCATTTAAGAAGGAAGAATGCCTTGCTAAATGCGGCTGTACAAAGAATTGCGATTGTGATCTTACTGGAAGTACTTGCAACTGTTTTTCAACATGTCAATGTCCTACAACACCGCCACCAGATGTCTGTCCATTTGTCCCAGCTGATTGTGTCACAAAATGTGGTTGTGCTGAACGTTGTAACTGTAACGGACCTTTCTGTATGTGTAATGTTGATGCAGTGTGTCCTGAAATTTGAAAAACTTAAGCTTAACTTTTTAAGTTAATTTAAAAAAAAGTTTAAATGCTTTTTAAAAAAATAAATTTAAATAAAATGGATTGTTTAAAACTAAAATTTGAGGTTAAACTTATTGCCAGGAACGCTCAGCTGTTTTTTTTAAAAAATTTGACAACTTCATGCCGTCATTTTGTTATCATCGGCATAAAGTAAAGGAAATTAGGAGTTAAACTAGGATTGACAAAAACAATAAAATAATCGATAATGTTACAGCTTATTTTATTTATTTGATAAAAAGTTTCTATAAAAGCCGGTGCATTTTAGGCAATTTTTAAAAGTGTGAATTTATTGAATTTAAAATAAAAATATTGCATTAAAAAATTAATAAAAAAAATTTTTTTAATTGTGAAATTTAAAAAAAAAATAAGTTTAAAAAAATTGGATAAAAAATAAAAAAAATTAACGATGAGTGCTAAAATTATTATATTATGTAGTTTATTAATAAGCTCAACGTATGGATTTAGATTTCCTCGTGTAAGTTTTAATCATGGATATTTGCTTAGGTGATGCTAATTTGGACCTAGTTGATTATTAAATAACCTAGCTTAGTAAGCTCAACTTACCTATTAGCTACTTTTTTCGAAGTTTTATCCTCAAAATGGCGTCAAATTTATGAAAAACCTGTTCTTTATAAACCTAGCAGATGCTTAGATAAGCAAAAAAAAAGAATATAACTTCATTAGGTCCTGTTTGCAGGACATGACTGAATAATTTCTGTTTGTCTGAAAAATACTCGAAGTAAAAAAAAAATTCAAAAAGCAAATTAAAAATATTACAAAAAAAAATTTAATTTCTCCAAAGATTTTTGACGCTCCGATGGAAGTAGCTCCTCATATTGTGTGTACGGTAAGTGAATATATTTTATATAAAAAACCTCCAAAACTAAGTGTGTGGAATTGATCAAAAATGTTAAAAAGTAATATTAATCACTTCTGCACTCTTGCACAACCCAAAAACTTATTATTTAAAATTATTCACAAACTCACGCAATCAAAAAATTCTCACAGGGCGTTGCAGATGGGACAAAACTTCCTGACGACACAGATTGCGGTCATTTTTTCTTGTGTGATGGCGGTGCATCATTAAGACTTGCATGCAGATTATCAGAACCACATTTTGACAGATGCGCGGGCGCTTGTATCAATGATCCTTCTGTGTGTACAGTTACTGACTGCCCTGGGGTGAGTTGACAAAGATGTGAACAGAAGATTAAGTTTTTATTATATTTTTAACTTTTGGATATAGAGCACTGAATCCTCCACAACAGAATCCACAACAACAACAACAACGACGACATCAACAACAACAACAACAACAACTACGACACCAGCACCGTCTGATTCAACAACAAAATTCAACCCTCCAACCGTACCAACTGTTTGTTCAACACCTTGTGAAACCACTTGGGATGTTGCCACTTGTGAATGCATTGAAAAATGGGTATGCGAAAACGATGTCTGCGTTTGCAATCCAAATAACGAATGTCCTTTGACTGAAGCTGAATGCATTTTACCAGAAAATTGTGGATGTATGGAAAGATGTGATTGCCCAGAAACAGATAAGTGTAGCTGCGTAACCGATGGCACACAATGTCCATTTGATGACATAGCTGGAGCTTGCATTAAGAATTGTGGATGTCAAAGTAATTGCATATGCACAGACACTACTGCTGCTACTGGTTGTACTTGCAATCCAACATGTACATGCAATGAACCTCCAAAAGTTTGTCCTTTCAAGCCTGCTGACTGTTTAACAAATTGCGCTTGTGATGAAAGATGCAACTGTAATGGTGATTTTTGTACATGCAATGCTGATGTTGCATGTCCTGCATCATTTTGGAAACGTTTATATTAGAGAATATTAGATATACTCGGTCGGTGCTGGTGCAGCTGTGGCTTTTAAGAAGTAGAGATAAATTATACTAAGAAGTAATTTTTATGGTTTTGGTGCAATAGATCATCAATCAGGATTGTAGTGACTCCAGCTTTTTGTAAGATATAGGTTCGCTTCGAAGGAACCATCTCATATTTTAATCCTTATGGTTGTAGTTGAACTTTAAAGTTTTTAATGTTTTAAATTTAAAAAAAAATAAAAAAAAGTTTTAGAAAAATATTTTTTAAGTTTTTTTTTCATTTCTTTTAGGGAGTCGTTCACTTATTACGTCCAGAATTAATGGTCATATTTAAAAAAAAACCAATGGATTTCCACGAATTTCTATTGTTCCTTTTTCGCTGCCCCCCCCCTCCCCCATACCCCTCCCCCCACCCCCCCACTCAAACTTTTCAGGCAATTTACTGGATTGGCAAAGTAGTTGACTAAATTTAATTAATATTCACACAAATTAGTTGAAAATATGTTTGGACTAGGGACGGTTGTCAGCCTTTTATTTGCCTGGATGCGAGATCTATGCTTCAGATTAACTCTCAACACCCTTCTCTCCCCCCCCCCCCCGCCTCTCCCCCTTCTTTCAATGGGGCAACATCTAAAATTAAGGAACTGATTAATCAGTTCCACACCCTTGGTACACGCAAGGCGCGTAAGAGGGGGGGGGGGGGGGATTTTTGTGACAAATCTCCCGACGTTAGAAGAAACTTCATCATTATGCTAGGAGTTTTATGAATAAATCATAAACTCCCCCGCCCCCCCCCCCCCCCCCCCCCTTTGAAAATTTTCCATATAAAAATTTTCTGTGTCCCCCCTCTTCAAGATCCTGGCTACGCCCCTGGTACACGCACTTAGTTTACCACATTATCTTGATTCAATCAATTCCCACATTTCAAGGCCCCAAATGATGTCAAATGATTTTTTTGTTACTGTTTCATCACAATTTATTTTTGGGTCTCATAATTCGGCAAGATTTACTGTTGCGGATATACAAAAGAAATGAGATACCTGAGTCTTTTGCGTTTTATCGAAAATATTTGATAAAGAAAATTGTATAAAAATACAATCAATATAGGCTGAAGGTGTCAAATAGGAATACACTTAATCATATAAAGGAAGTGTTTCGGAGAAATTTTGTAAAATTAAAATGAAAATTTTAATGATTTTGCCTTTGATTGTCTACAGTCTGTATGGATTAACTTTTGGACAGGTAAGATTTTGAACATTATTGAGATTAAGAATGAAGTCACTACAACTCATTTTATAGTCAAAATTTCATCAATATAAATATTTTTATTTTCTAGATTATTTTTCCAAACAACTTAGAAATATCACCTCACAGTGAGTGCGTGGTAAGTAGATTTATTGGATCTTTTGATAAATGAATGTTACATCAGCAGTAAAATGTTTGATTTTACATCGATGACTGATAAGATCTTAATCATAACTAAGTAAATGATTAAATGATCAAGAATTGAAGAAGAATGTTGTGGGGTTTTTGGATGTTTTACAAGAACTTACAAACTAGCTTGCCGCTGCACATAGTTGCTGCACATAGTTTGAGAACCTCTGATCTAACCCCCTTTCCACCCCCCTCCCCTTCCCCTCCCCTTCCCCTCCCCTTCCCCTCCCCTTCCCCTCCCCTTCCCCTCCCCTTCCCCTCCCCTTCCCCTCCCCTTCCCCTCCCCTTCCCCTCCCCTTCCCCTCCCATTCCCCTCCCATTCCCCTCCCCTTCCCCTCCCCTTCCCCTCCCCTTCCCCTCCCCTTCCCCTCCCCTTCCCCTCCCCTTCCTCTCCCCTCCCCTTCCCCTCCCCTTCCCCTCCCCTTCCCCTCCCCTTCCCCTTCCCCTCCCCTTCCCCTCCCCTTCCCCTCCCCTTCTCCTCCCCTTCCTCTCCCCTTCCCCTCCCCTTCCCCTACCCTTCCCCTCCCCTTCCCCTCCCCTTCCCCTCCCCTTCTCCTCCCCTTCCCCTCCCCTTCCCCTCCCCTTCCCCTTCCCTACTTCCCCCTCCATATCAACTCTATTAACCATCCACATTATCAAAACCTTTTCCAGGGTATCCCAGATGGAACCAGACTCCCTCAAGCCAATTGCAGTACATTCATCCTTTGCGACATGGAATCACCCTTGTTACTTCCATGTAGAGAAAGTGAACCGTATTTTGACAGAACTGCTCAGAGATGCAGTAATGACTCATCAGTTTGTTACATTGATGGAGTAAGTTGGTGTATTTTTGACCTTATTATTTAACAAAAATTTATTTTGATCCTAATAGGGCGTAGTTCCACCAACAACAACCACAAAAGCTACAACAATAATCATACCAACTGTCCCAGTAGGCACAAATCCTCCTCCAACTACAACCACAACTACAACAACACTTCCTCCACCACTTACCTGCCCTACACCATGTGCAGATCTTCCAAATACTTGCTTATGTGATGCTCAATGGACGTGCGTTGATGGCAATTGTATTTGCGATGAAACAATTGTGTGTCAAATGACTAAAGCAGAATGCTTAGCAAAGGAAGGATGTGGAGGTACAAATGGATGTGCTGAGCGATGTGAATGTGTTGATGATAATAATTGCGTATGCAACTTAGACACTCAATGTACATTCAACAGGCTTCTTTGTGTATCAAAATGTGGCTGTCAAAATAATTGCAACTGTGTACTCCTTAAATGTACTTGCTTTGATACATGTAAATGCTTCGAACCACCACCGGTGTGTCCAAAAAGTAGACAAGAATGTCCTGAATTTTGTGGATGTCAGGAAAGATGCCTTTGTAATGGAGATAAGTGCGTTTGTGATCTTGATCATGGTTGTCCATGAGTTTTTGGTAAAAAGACTTAAAAATCAAAAAATCATGAAGCTTTTTGGATCTTCGAATTTTTAAAAAGATAATTATCAAGTTTTTAATAAAAAATGTCTAGAAAATTAAAAATTGTCTAATCTTAACTAAACTATGCGCATGTCTACAGATTACAACTAAAAAATGACATAAAATTGGGAAAGGAGCTTAAAACTATGAAAGGGGTGTGAAATTATGAAAAGGTTGTGAAACTATGAAAAGGATGTGAAATTGCGAAATGGTTAGAAACTGTAAATTAATGTGTAATTGCAGAAGGGTGTAAAACTATAAAAAGGGTGTGAAACTATGAATAGTGAGAAACTTTGAAAAGGGTGTAAAACCAAGAAGGGGTGTGAATCTATGATGGGGTACAAAACTATGAAAGGGGTCTGAACCTATGAAAGGGGTGGAAAACTATGAAAGGGGTGTGGAACTACAGAGGAGTGTAAAACTACGAAAAGGTGTGAACCTATGAAAGTGATGCAAAACTATGAAAGGAGTGTGAAACTATGAAAGAGATGTGAAACTGCAAAATGTTTAGAAACTGTAAATTATTGCAATTATGTGTGTAATTGCAAAAGGGTGTAAAACTATGAAAGGGGCGTGAAACTATGAATAGTGAGAAACTTTGAAATTGGCGTGAAACTTTGGTTGAAACAGATGGTACCCATTAAAAGAGTGTGAAAGTGCATAAAGATTGTGAAACTGCGTCAGGGGTGTTGTTATGTCGTGAGGATTGTGCGAATCATTGTAATATTGACAATGTTCTATATTATGATTGTGATATCAGTTTCTGGTTGGAATTGAGCTCGCATTCTTACAAAAAAGGGTTACATATTTATTGTCTGCTGTTTAAATACCTCAGAGACCAAACTCTTATCCTGGCAGATTCGCCTATATATGGATCGATCTTCAAGATTCTACTCTGATAAGATGCAACGGCAGTGAAACTATAAAATAGAATTAAGATACAGGTTGCTTGTCACAGGCACAGGTGACAGATTTGTCACAGATATTGTCTGTTAACAAGCAGTGCCTGCGAACTGGCAAAAAAATATTTCCTGTCACCTGTGAGGTTTAATACTTTTAAAATATATGAAATATAAAGGCTTTATGCTTAAATTTCCAACAAATTTTGATTAAAGCTTCAGTATTTAAGCCAATAAAATGTAAAAGTTGATTACTATAAATTCTTTTTGACAAATTAATAATTAATATTTAATTTCTCTTTTCTGATTATTCCATTCAGCTAAGGAAAAGCTTATATCAAGGTTATAAATATCATTCGATTTCCCAGTAATTTATTTATCTGCCTTTATTTTATTGAACTCTATTTTTGTGCCCTTGTTTTTTTCGGTTAATCCTTTTGGTGATTTACCCTTGTGTAACATAAAAACACAAATTTTTTAAAGCTTGTGCGTTTTATCAATTTGTTATTGTATGATAAAGAAAACTGTATAAAAGACGATCCAAATAGCCAAGACAATTTATAATAATAAATATTCTTCAAAATAAAAGAAGTGCTTACAGGATAAATATTTAAAATTTGTTAATTTAAAAACAAAAGTTGTCAAAGTTGAACAAAAAAAAAATATCTCAACAAATATGAAGTTTTTATACATTATCTCGATGATTTTCTGTGCAGTAAATGGATTCAGGTTTAAAGATGTGAGTATCAGGAAGGATTTCTCTGTTATTGGTTTGGTTTTATACAGGTTTAACCCCTCGTATGGCATGATTCCAGTATGACAAAGTTTAACATCTAATGTAGTACAGAAGTGAATGGCGGTTTATAGATTTACCATACCAGAAGTATTTTGTGGCTATATTATTATTAAACTATACTGTGCGGATACCGAGCCTATACATAACCATACCGTATACCATAGGGGCCGTTCACTTATTACGTAACGCGAAAAAACTACTTTTTAGACCCCCCCCTCCCCCCCCTCGTAACAAAATTTGTATGAAAAAAAAATTCTTTTGTTTGAACCGTAACAAAATCTTAGACCCCCCTCCCCCCTAAAAGCGTTACGTAATAAGTGAACGGCACCATACCTAATCAATTACCTAACCCTATCCTATATTTATCTTCATATATACTTAAGCCTATCCTATACCCAACTCTATCCTTTGCTTAACCCTTTCCTATACCTAACCTTATCCTATAACTAACCTTATCCTATACCTAACCTTATCCTATACCTAACCTTATCCTTTACCTTACCTTATCCTATACCCAACTCTATCCTATATCTAACTCTATCCTTTGCTTAACCCTTTCCTATACCTAACCTTATCCTATAACTAACCTTATCCTATACCTAACCTTATCCTATACCTAACCTTATCCTTTACCTTACCTTATCCTATACCCAACTCTATCCTATATCTAACTCTATCCTTTGCTTAACCCTTTCCTATACCTAACCTTATCCTATACCTAACCTTATCCTATACCTTACCTTATCCTATACCTTACCTTATTCATATCTAATCCTATGCTATACCTAACCTTATCCTATACCTTACCTTATCCTATACCTTACCTTATTCATATCTAATCCTATCCTATACCTAACCTTATCCCATAACTAACCTTATTCTATACCTAACCTTATCCTATACCTAACCTCATCCTACACCTAACCTTATCCTATACCCTACCTTATTCATAGCTAACCCTATTCTATACCTATGTTGGATTCATGACCCGAATAGCGGAAAAGATCCTGTCAGAAAATCGAGACGAAATCCCACACCAGGACGATGTCACTCCAACATCGGTACGCAAGCCCCTCAAGTTGTCCTAGCGCAGGAATTTGTCTCGTTTATCCGACTTAAACTTTTGGATAAGAACATTCAATTGAATTAGGTTAAAACATTTCACATTAGATGATAAAGCAAAAACCATGATACTTCATCTCAGTGCCACTTAAACATAGCATTTACTGCATGACAATGATTCGCTCACATTTTTTTTTTTCCAAAATCATTCAATTAAAGTTGTCTCAAAAATTAATATTTTGTTCATTTGTTATCAGGTTATCTCAGATCACATAGACGTATCGCCACACAACGAATGTGCTGTAAGTTAAAGTCTTAATGCTTAAGGATTAAAAAAATATTTTTGATAAGGAAAAATAACATCAACAAGTTCAAGTTTGGAACTAAAGGAGACATGAGCTGATATATAAAAATAAATAATGACGTGATTCAATAATTTTGAAATTAATTCTTAATTGTATTTCACAATAGAATCAACCAAATGGAATGAGACTTCCACATGCTGATTGTAATCGATTCATACTTTGTGATTCACAAGCTGGACTGGTTCTTTCATGCAGAGCAGCAGAGCCGAATTTTGATAGATGCAATCAGAGATGTGTAGATGATCCGTTAGTGTGCACGACAACTGATTGTAATGGCGGCGGTGGGGTAGGTTGATGCAGCAATATCCTTGAATTGTTTGAAAAAATATTTAAAAATTTCAGGAAGTAACATCGACCACAGTAACAAATGAACCTCCAGTAACAACAACAACAACAAGGTTTACTCCTCCAACAGTTCAAGCTGTATGTCCAATTCCTTGTACTTCAGGAAACATGCCTACATCCTGTGACTGTATAGAACGATGGATATGCGTTGGTATAACATGTCAATGCAACGCTAACATCCCGTGTCCTATGACAGAAGACGAATGCATGGCATTACCAGAATGTGGCGGTGATTGTCAAGAACGATGTGTTTGTGAAACTCCTGAAAATTGTCAATGCAACACTGAACTTCAATGTCCTTTCGCACAGGCTGAATGTGCTGCAAGATGCGGTTGTGGAGCTAATTGTAACTGCGAAACACCAACAACGTGTGTCTGCAATGATGTATGCGTTTGTGTAGGACCACCAAATGTATGTCCATTTGCTCCCGTTGACTGTGTTGCACGTTGCGGATGTAACGAAAGATGTATCTGTAATGGAAATGTTTGCACATGTGATACTGAAACTCACTGTCCAGCAAATGTCCCTAGGATTTTTATGTATAAGAATTAAATGCGGATATTAAGGTTCATTTGGATATTTTTTAAAATTGGTTCAGGAATTATTATTTTAGTTTTTACTATTAATTTGAATAATATTTAAATAAATAAAAATATATTTTTAAATATAGAAAAATAAATAACTTGCTTACTTCCTTGGCTGGGGCGTACGTGGGCCCATTGCCGCGCTTAGAGATCGTCTGAAGACAGCTCTATCCTTAGAAACCTTCTGCCAGTTCGGGATATTAAGCACTCTAGCGTTCTTTTCAATACATCCAATCCACGAGATCTTCGGTCTTCCTTGTGATCTCTTGCCATCCATAAAGTCTGCTAATGTTACTTTTAGTACTTCATCTTTAGATCTTTAATTCAGATGAGTTGGGAATAGGACAGTTTTGGATAAAATATGTTCAGCATGAAACTGCGAATCGTTTTACACTCGGGAACCAGAAGCGAAACCGAGAGAGAGGGGGGGGGGGGGGGTTATGTGGTCAAATTACCCCCTTTTTTGATAAATATCTGAAAAATTAACTAGTTTTTTATTTTAACAAAAATTAATCCAAACCCGAAAATTCTCAGGTACGACCCTGTCAGAAAAATAGTCAAGAAAGACTGTTAAATGCCCTGCACTCCTGTTGATATCAAAATTTAAAGTCAATTAATCCTCGTCGCATATCATACTGTATGCATGGGTAATTGATCCGTACAAAACATTTCATCAACTTAAGAAAACCAGAACAGTCTTCCGTCATGCAGAACTGTAGCGGTTATTCCTTGGATCTTCTTGGATAAAATTGACGCATTTTTGAAACTTGTTTCGAAAAGGTAGCTTAATATCTCACTATGTCTGTTCGTTCGGGCTGAGAAAAACTTTTTAACTAGACATCGTAGAGAGTTCTAGTTTGTTTTATTAGCTCAGGTCCATTGTTTTATTTTCGGGAAACGCATTCAAAAGTCTTGAAACAGTCTTTTTGTCCTATAATTAATGGTTTTTATATTTCATATGAAAAAACACGTG